AAGATATGATAAAACTAATAACTTGCTAGTTAGTTTTTGATTTTCTAAGAACTTTCAGTGTCACCCTCGTATAATTAAATGTAATTAACTTTAAAAAAAAGTCTTAAATTTGTATATAAAATACGAAGAAACTTTTTCTCCACCTTTTACATACATATACAACACGTAACATAACGCACATCCTGAAAGTAGTTTGTTTAGAATCGTTTACTGAATCGATTTCTATCATTTTTAATATAGGTAATTTTGTATCCCAAAAATAATTGAAACTACGTAATTTACCGTGTTAAATAGCCGAGTAGTGGCGGTCAAGAATATCCACTACCCCATATCCTCCCGTGGGTGTCGTAAAAGGCGACAAAGGGAAACAGGCAGGAGATGGGCAGCAGCATCTTCCTGATAATAGCCAAAATTACAATAAAAAAACTGCGGTTGCCAACCCGCTCGCCAAGCGTGGCAACTATGGCAAATACCTCCCTATGAATGTAACAAAGAGACGGCCCCCAGTCCCCGGCGGCCCCGCTATTCCTGGCTACGGTGGCGACCATGGTAACGGCGGGGCAGGGGGTGCTAAGAATCTCCGGTGGAGGTTCGGTTGCCACCTTAGACGACTCGACCTGGCAACGTACAACGCACGCACCCTGAGGACTGACGAGAAGATCGTGGAGCTGGAAGAAGAGATAGACAAGTTGCGCTGGCATATTATAGGATTATCCGAGGTCCGAAGAGAGGGGGAGGACACGATAATCCTCGAATCCGGCAACTTGCTCTATCACCGGGAGGGCGACCATCTGTCCCAAGGAGGTGTCGGATTTATCGTCCACAAGTCTCTCGTTAACAACGTTGTAAAGATCGGGAGTGTGTCGACAAGGGTTGCGTACCTTATACTTAAAATCACCAAACGGTATTCGCTGAAGGTCATACAGGTTTACGCACCAACCTCGGCACACCCCGATGAGGAGGTGGAGGAAATGTATGAGGATATCTCTAGAGCCATGCATTCCTCCAAAACCCAATATACGGTGTTAATGGGAGACTTCAATGCAAAACTAGGTACAAGAGAGAACGGTGAGCTGAAAGTAGGGAAATTTGGAATAGGGCAACGGAACCCAAGGGGCCAGCAGCTGGCCGACTTCATGGAGAAAGAGGGACTCTTTATGATGAACTCTTTCTTCCAGAAGCGGCCCCACAGGAAGTGGACCTGGTCGAGCCCCGACGGTTCGACAAAAAATGAGATTGACTTCATTATGACGACCAGACGACAACTGTTCAGTGATGTCTCCGTGATCGCGAGGGTGAAAACTGGTAGCGATCACCGAATGGTTAGAGGCACACTGAACCTAAACGTTAAGTTGGAGAGGTCTCGTCTAATGAAGTCAACGCTCCGTCCCCCTCGTGCTCTGTTCCAAAGTCCCGAAACCTTTCAGCTCGAGTTACAAAACCGTTTTCAGTACCTAGAAGACTGCAATGAAGTGGACGATATGAATGACAAGCTCGTGGAAACTGTCCATGCGGTCGGAGCTAAGTTCTGCAAAACCCGCCGCAGAAGAACACAAAAACTCTCCGATCACACTCTTAATCTCATGGCTGTTAGACGGGAGATGAAGCTACATTCTTCAACAGACTTGACAGCATACAGGCATCTGAACAGACAGATCTCCAAATGCATGCGGCGGGACTTACACAACTTCAATACAGCTCGTATGGAAGAAGCGATCGAGGGGAACCAAGGCTCCAAAGTCTTTGCCAGAGATCTGTCTGCCAGAAAAAGCCACCTGTCAAAGCTGAAGACAGAATGTGGCAGCATCGTTTCCGGGACACCTGAGATTATGAGTGAGATTGAGAGGTTCTATGGGCAGCTGTACACGTCATCGTTGGAGCCACACGCAAGTGTGAGTAACGATCCAAGAGCGAGTCTCATCCGACACTATTCCGAAGATATCCCGGACGTCAGTCTGAGCGAGATTAGAATGGCTCTCCAGCACCTTAAAAACGGTAAGGCCCCAGGCGAGGATGGAATTACAGCGGAGCTTCTGAAAGCGGGTGGAAGACCGGTACTTGAAGTCCTTCAGAAGCTCTTTAATTCCGTCCTGCATGGTGGCATTACACCGGAGGCGTGGAGCAGAAGTGCGGTGGTCTTGTTCTTCAAGAAAGGTGACAACGCTCTCTTGAAGAACTACAGACCGATTTCCCTTCTGAGCCGCGTCTACGTGCTGTTTTCGAGAGTCATTACGAATCGTCTCGCGCGCAGACTTGACGACTTCCAGCCTCCCGAACAAGCCGGTTTCCGAAAGGGCTTTAGCACCATAGACCACATACATACCCTTCGGCAAGTTGTACAGAAGTCCGAAGAGTACAATTTGCCACTATGTCCGGCGTATGTGGACTATGAGAAAGCCTTTGATTCCGTCAAAATTTGGGCGGTGCTGCATTCCCTTCAGCGGTGCCAAGTTGACTGTCGGTATATCGAAGTGTTGAAGTGCTTGTACAGTAGGGCTACGATGTCTATCCGAGTACAGAACCAGAGTACGAAACCTATCCAATTGCAGAGAGGTGTAAGACAGGGTGACGTCATATCCCCGAAACTCTTCACCGCTGCATTGGAAGACGTTTTCAAGCTTCTGGACTGGAAAGGATACGGTATCAACATCAATGGCGAGTACATCACTCACCTTCGATTTGCCGACGATATAGTCCTTATGGCAGAATCGCTGGAGGACCTAAGCACTATGCTCAATGACCTCGATAGTGTTTCCCAACGGATAGGTCTTAAGATGAACATGGACAAAACAAAGATCATGTTCAATGTCCATGTCACACACCTATGCCGGTAGTTGTTGGGAGCACTAAGCTCGAAGTTGTTGACGAGTATGTTTACCTGGGACAAATAGTCCGACTAGGTAAGTCCAACTTCGACCGAGAGGTCAATCGACGGATTCAACTCGGCTGGGCAGCGTTCGGGAAGCTACGACACATCTTCTCGTCAGACGTACCTCAAAACTGAAAACGAAATTGTACAACCAGTGCGTGTTGCCAGTGATGACTTATGGAACTGAGACGTGGTCCTTCACTGCTGGCCGTATGAGGAAGCTCAAGGTCGCTCAGCGAGCTATGGAGAGGGCTATGCTCGGAGTTTCTCTGCGTGATAAACTTAGGAATGAGGATATCCGCAATAGAACCAGAGTAACCGACATAGCCCAACGGATTAGTAAGCTGAAGTGGCAGTGGGCCGGCCATATAGCTCGAAGAACCGACAACCGATGGGGAAGAAAGGTTCTCGAGTGGCAGCCTCGTACCGGTAGGCGAAGTGTAGGGCGTCCCCCCACGAGATGGAGTGACGACCTGGTAAGACATGCAGGAAGTCGATGGATGCAGGTGGCTCAGGACCGTGCTTTGTGGCATTCTTTGGGGGAGGCCTATGTTCAGCAGTGGACTTGTGAAGGGCTGTAATGATGATGATGACGTAATTTACAGTCACACTAAACCTGTATAACCTGTATAATATAGTCAAGGCAATAAGACTTTTGAAAGTGCAGTTTTATTTGTATTAATACAAATTCCGTCATTCAATACAAAATAAAGAAAATTGAACCTTATTTCAAGCATGTTAAAGTCTTTACAAATACAGAGTTTGGAGTGCCTTATAAAGGTCGCGACGGCCAGGCCATTGACCTCCCAGATCAGCTGATTTGACGCCTCTTGACTTTTTTTTATGGGGATGTATTAAATCATTAGTTTATTTTAGTGGGATAACAAATGCCGAGGACCTAAAAATAGGATAGTGAACGCTTTTAGAATAGTGAAAAATTACACTGAATTGCTTCCTAAATTATTTTCTTTCTTTTTCTTTCTTTTTTAAAACGTAACCTACATACTAGGATTTTCTCTTGTATTGTGGGGGCAGTTTACAAACTTAAATTGCACCAGGACATACATCCAGACCCGGAACAATTATTTGTAGGCCATACAAATACTTGTTCCGTGCGGGATTCGAACCCGCGGCCCTTAGCGCTGCAACTCAATTACTAAGCCACTGCGCCAGGCAGCCGTGGTGGACATTTTGAAAGTGTATTAAAATACAACGTTGCATGAGAGTTTAGGCTATCAGTAAGTTAAAAATTTGATTCTTAAAATTATTGTAATCTTGATTCACATCTTTTAAACACGCCGTCTTTGGATTATGTTGTCGTATTGCCTCTTATTTTTAGGAGTTAATTATTATTTACAATTACAATTAAAATATTATGCAAATTCATAACATTTTGTAACGAATATTGCCTATTGACATTGTATCATAATCAATAGACAAAATTATTCAGAGTGGAAAGTCCAAAGCCTGAAAAGTGTGATGGAAAGATGCAATCAAATGTTTACTAGACTTAAATAAACAACTCAATGCACGGAGTTCTGACATCTGTTAATGTTCATAGGTAGGTATTTCGGCTTTTTTTCGGCACTAATACCTACCTACAGGTGTTTCCAGCGGCGGCGGCGTTAACTCGTCTCGAACGCGAACGAATACTTACTAGTCTAGCAAGACCTATACCTAGTGTTCGTGGTTTTGTACGGTGACCACAACATTCTTCCGGAATTAGTATAACTAATTTAATAAATAATCAATGCATAAACATGTTTAACTAAGAATTCAGTGTATGTATTATGATTATAACATAATATACTAATTGGGGTGTCTGATGATGTGCGTTAATTACGTTAGATGTTGTATATACCCGAAAAACATTATTCTCCTTCTCGAGCAGTCGGGTAAAAAGTAATGACATTTAATATCACAGTTATCAATTTAAAATGTGTTACATTTTATTAATCTAAACATAAACTTAAATACATTTGATCTTGGTTAAAGAGGATAAACATGTATTATGTCTATAGGCCACAGTATCCACTTACCATCAGGTGGACTGTGTGCTCCTTTGTCACCATTATTCCTATAAAAAGTTTATAACCAAATTTATTTACGTGGTATATATTATATAACTCACTTTGCCTTTTGCAGCGCTTTAGCTTTTTCTAATATTTCAGCTGCAGACGGTGCAGGTTTCTGAAACAATTATAAGACATAATATATTATCGTTAGTAATATATAACAAAATACCCTTTTGTGACATAAGAGAATGCAATTTATTACGTGGTAGAGCCACGCTGCAGCTATATTAGTCGTATAGTTGTAGCAAGAATGGATCGGCTCGATCGGGGAAGGACCACGCTCTCACAGTACCAGCGTAAAATAGCAGCTTAACTTAAGCTTTTAATTCGCAAACGAAGATAGATGTAGATGCCTATGGGCCACAGGAACCAATTACCATCAGGTAGACTGTGTGCTCGTTTGTCACCCTATCCTATAAAAAAAATCTCTTCCGATGGGTGATGCAAGAGACAACTAGGAAACCTGTAACTATTTAAGGCTTATGTTTCTTCGCCAACCCTTCTATTAGGATTTACCACAACGTTCAGTGACTTCCGTAAAGATCTTCTGCCAAATCCTCGGATGATTTTGCTTCACCAAGGTCTGCCATAGATTTGGGGGAACACACAAATCATTTTGAGTTGGTGAATATTCGCGGACTCCTTCTGAAGATTAAGTATAGTGGTTTCGGTTGTAAGCGAGAACGGTGCCCAGTGTATGCATTTCAAGGCCAAAGTGGCTTTAGTCATTTGTGTGAAATTTTTAAAAATAATGTCATTGTTTAGCTCAAAATCTTTCAATATTGTATTGTTCCATTTCTTCAAATAATCTTTCATCTAGATTCTCCTTTTCTTGCGTTTTTTCCTTGCACTTAACACAAAATATGCCTCACTGATAGCTACTATATAGTATACTAGTGCCGCGTCTATCTCTAACCAAACCTAACCGAGGCGCGTTCAGGTATAGAAGAGTTGCATGCGACAAGCGCACGGGTATAGATGATAAGCTATGTCTACACCAGTACGCTTTTCATTTCGCTTTCATGTTCATTTTGTGTTTCAACTTTCAGTTTCTCTTGCGTCAAGCGCTCAGTGCGCTTCCCTGTTTATGTTGAGTCTTTTTCTAAACGTATGCCTGAGCAACCATAGCGCATACGCTAAAACTAGTTCGACAACAGCGCATGCCTCTAGCGACAGCTGATGAGTCACCGGTGGGTTCGCATGCAACACTTCGTGCTATTAAAGCGAAATTGAAAGCGCACTGGTGTAGACATAGCTTAAAAGTACTAAGTAGACATGAAGCCTTAGCAAAGAGACGCACGTCATCCATGTTTAAAAGATCTACGGTGAATACAGACGAATGTGTAAACGCGTTGTACTCGTCCACGAATAATTCGGCGAGTTATTCGGAGATTTGTTCGTCCGATAATCTAAACGCGCCATAAACCAATGCGTCACAGAGCCGTCGTCACACAGGAGTCTTTAAAAAAGTAAAAACCGACATCAATATGAATATAATTTATTGTTGATTTTTTTAACACCCCTCGACCAATTTCGATAAAATTTAAATGAGACCACCTGAGAAGATGGTCCACCTATACCCTTTGAAAAAAAAATTAATTTTTCAAATCGGTTCAGGCGTCTTTCAGTAATCGGGTAATATAAATAAAATATTCCGACGAATTGAGAACCTCCTCTTTTTTGAAATAAATTGAAAAAATTATTTCCAAATAATTTTATAACTTCTGAAAAAGTTTCACTTTTTTGTGGTCACATATTTACTAATAAATACGTGACCACAATTATGACTTATAAATATATTATTACATTTCATTAAAATGAGATCCAAAAATACTATTTATGTTAAAAGAAAAATTGGTTATATACATGTGCTAATGCCACAGTATGATAATGTTATTTTAATAAGAGAAAAATTACCAATGGCTGTGGCTTTTTCAATGGAGCCTGTTGGAGAAACACCAACGGTCCCTGTGTTCCATCCACCATCACATATGTCTCCTGACTTTCCTGATCTGCAAAAATAATCGAACGAAACAAATCATCAATCTCTTCTTCATGTGTAGGTAGAGTTCAAATTTAAGTTTAGAGATTTTATTGCAATTTATAATGAAAATATCTATATATTAATAGGTGAAAAGTCGTACCCCTTTTTATACATATACGCGCACGAAAGAGTGTAAGGAGATTTGGCATAGTAAAAGTTTGAAAATGTACAGATACATTAAATTAAATAATGTCAAATACATAATAGTCTGTTGTTAAACAGTCACACAGAGTAGAGATTGTCGCGAAAGAATTCTAAAATGTTGCCAACAAACAATTACTAACAGATTGACTGAAGGATCTGTCAATTTTATGTGATTTCAAATGTTCCTTTTTCCAATGGTCCTAAAACACCAGTGTTCATGGACTCTAAAGCATTTTCTTAATAAGAACTTTAAAAAAAATTACGTTTGCCAACCCGTTTGTTAAGGGTGGCACCTATGGCGATTATTCCCTTAAGAGAAAATCTATGGGGAGGTCCATGTGCAGAAGTGAACTCCTTATAGGTTGTTACGAAGGGTAGGAACGAGAAGGCTCACCGTCGGCATCGTCGCTAGCTTGCAAGACGCAGGCAACTGTCGCGTCCACTTCATTACTCGACGAAGAATCCACATTGGTTACGAGCTGGTAAGATTCCTGGCCATCCTCGCATCTTTAAATATAAATTTTATACAAATCATAATACGATTATTCGTTACAATATTATTGTTACGAATAATTCAGTTGCATGTTGCATTACGGTTCGAGGTTATGCGAGAATATTCCCGAAAATATGCATTCCAATATTTTCATTGTACGTTGTAAAACCATGCTTCAGCTATATTAATAGTATAGTTGTAGCACGAATGGGTCGGCTCGACCGGGGAAGGACCACGCTCTCACAGAATACCACAGTAAAATTGCGGCTTAATGCTACTGTGTTTCGTATGGTGAGTGTAGAGAACCGAAGACCCTTTTTACTGGAAAGGAGGCATTTCATCTTAGTCCTCAGGAGTGACAACGCATTTGCATTTTGATTCGTTATTGAGGATAGATGTAGATGTCTATGGGTCACAGCAGCCACTTACCATCAGGTGGACTGTGTGCTCGTTTGTCACCCTTATCCTATAAAAAACCAAAACTCTAAACGACATCTTTAAAATTGAGCGGCGTTTGAGTATTGGGCCATTAAAGTGAGTAAAACCAACCTGACAAGTGTCAAATTGAGTAGGTCCACCATCATGCCCTTTCCCGAGTCCAATACTTGCATGTACTTCAGGTCACCATCGCCGCTGTTCTCTGACCCCTCAGCCAAAACATGTTCTTCCACATTCTCTAACTGAAATATGACAATATTATGTTAAGAAAAAAATAACTTGTCTCATAACAGACCGGCTTAAAAAAAATTATTGATTCATTTATAACGATTGGATTTCTTTTGTTTTTTTAATTATTTGCGCGGAATCCTAATTCTTTTTCTAAAATAAAAGTAGCCTAAGTTACTCTTTATAACATCAACTATCTGCCAATGAAGGCATGTCAAAATCGGCCCCGCCATTTTAGAGATTAGCCGGATCAAACACACAGACAAACAGACAAAAATTTTAAACATTGTTTTTTGTTATAGGTATATATATATATATATATATATATATATATATATATATATATATATAGATTATGTAAATCGCCGAGATTTGTAGATTAGGCGTGGGATGGAAGTGCTTATTTTTAGACGTTACCTTTACAGCCTACTAAAAGTCGACTGCCTAGGCCTCCCACATAGAGTGCCACATTTGCCATAGTTGCCACGTTTGGCATGCAGGTTGGGCAATTTTTTATTCTTAGTAGTTATTGATTGATTTGACGGGATATTAATAATATATAGATATTCATAGGATGGTCAATTTACAGAATTATATGACACACCTATACTCACCTTATGGACTTTTTCATATGGATTCACCTCGACAATTTGCAGTTGACCTGAAAATTACAAACACCATTGTCTTTTTATTATGACTTGGATGAAAATTAGGAATAGGCTCAGTTGAGATGGTTGCGCTTGCAGTGCAATTCAAGCAGCGAGCACACAGTACTCTGCAGTACAACACCGTGTTTGTCATGAACCCAACGCTGTACACTCCACAGAATGCTCTCTAAGGAGGCCTCAGTAAGGCATAACCCATTTCGAAGTCATGTCTCAAAATACTTTTTATTCGGCCTACGGCGAATAAACATATTCCGGGTTGTGAGAAAATCCAAAAAACAAAATGGACGACGCGGTCGCTCTGTATTTCATAAGTGTAAAATAATGATTTGTTACATTTACTTTATTTTTTATTCACACTCAAACATCAATGATCTCAATCCTTATAAATGTGGCACGGATATTTCGTGTTGAATTAAAAAAAATTTGACGAACTTCAATCTATATTGAACACACAGAATGTACGCACCGACTGAAGTCTGGCCGGGCAAGCGAAGTTATCGCGATAAAATCCTTTGATGTGCGAAGTGTCTTCGGCTTCGCCCGAAGTGCTGAAGTCTTCGCCGCGACTTGGCTACGCTTATCGCGATAACTCTAATATACGAGTAATAGAGTGTAATGATCCGTAATGTAATGTCCGCCCTAGGCATTAAGGTAAGGCCTCAGTGTATGTTAGGTGTCTCAGCGTTTGAGGGAAACATCTCGCCACACCTTAAGAATAAGATGGCAGACGTTTTTATAGCATAAGGGTGACAAACGAGCACACAGTCCACCTGATGGTAAATGGTCTGTAAAAATCTAAGTACATCAAATCCTCCGAATCAAAATGAAGATGCGTTATTAGCCCTGGGGACTAAGATGCAATGCCTCATTACCGATAAAGTGTATCCGGTTCTCTACACTCACCATACGAAACACGGCAACATTAAGCTGCTATTTTACGCTGGTATTCTATGAGAGTGTGGTACCTACCCCGGTGGAGCCGACCCATTCGTGCTGCAACCATAAAACAGCTGCAACGTGGCTCTACCCACGCATATCTAATAGTAAGTCCACAACTAGCTATGACTTTGCAGGGAGGCATTAGCTTTATATTCATGATATGAATATTGACACAATTCTACATTTTACACAAAAAATATTTTTATTTAAATAATTACCATCTTTAAATTCTGTCGATAACAAGTGTGAATTTGAAGTCTCTTCATGTTCCTCATCAGACATGATTTAGTAAGCCTAAAAATTAAATTCAATTAAGTTATAAATTTTGCTCTAAGAATAAACTAAATAACACAACATGAATACATTATAATTTATAACCATGTAGTGGTATAGTTAGAGTATCCACAACCCCATATCACTCCGTAAGAGGCGACAAAACTGACCCAGGAGATGGACAGCTGCATCTCCCTGTGATAACAGCTCGATAAAAATTAAAAACTATGTTACTAACCTGCTTGCCAAATGTCACAACCATGGTAAATATCCCCCCGTATGAGATGTATGTTCTGCAATGGACTTTTGATAGACTGCAATGTTAATGATGGTAATACATTCATTGGATAAGTAGCGGGAGCATTTCCCCAAATATTTATTCTACCTGCTCTTTGTGCACCCTGGCAATCAACCATGTAGGCTTTGGCCATTGACAAAATGGCGGTATATCAATTCGAACGACGAATTTCAAAATTCGAAATTCGAATTGTCAACTAATTAGCAAAACAATGCTGGGTTCTACATGATTCTACTAAAAAATGCGCTTAATACAAAAAGCTTTTTCAATTATATGTCTTAAATTTAAGTCTGTCTCTTTTTTCCTAATTTTCCTAAATTTTGATAGCACTGTAACTTTTTTTTTATAGAATAAGGGTGATAAAAGAGCGCACAGTCCACCTGATGGTAAATGGATTCTGTGGCCCGTACGCCGCCAAAAACTACACCGTCGCGCCTGCGGATTGTGGTTCCTCTATTACTGTTTAAATAATGCTTTGAAATGTTAAATAAATAAAAGTGGTGCGATTTTGTATATTAAATGTCTGCGCATGTGAACTGTTAGTGGAAAAGATGAGAAAAGTTTTTCGCAAATGATGTCAACCTCAAGATAATGTCGGCATAAGTGCCTTGAGAGACTATCGTTATCTACTGCCTACTGTAAAAAGCACACTAAAAGGAAACTACTAGTGTGATTTTAGTGAACTTTTTGCACTAGGAAAGCTTTATTTCAATGGGGTTGTCATATAAGTATGTAAACTAGCTAACATACTTGATTGTGCAGCATATACTGCAAAAAAGCTTAGAAGCGTTATTCTACTCTTTATATAATTTGGGATAAAAGTAAATTACTTATTCGTTTTCACCTACGATTTCGGTCTAGAAAGGTTTTTTTCGCTTAGGTTTTGTGTGATTATGTTACATTATTTCATTTGAAATGACGCAGGCCCATAGGGTTATATGGTGGTGTGGTCACTCCAATCCAAGAAGGTTTTGCTTTGAAACTACAGGGATTAGTCATAAAAACATGTGTTATCCTTTCGCCGGTGTCTAGAAGGCATTATTTCGTGAATATCGCAACATCTATGAATTTGGTATAAAATATAAATCTATATTTTATAGGATGCATTTCGGTGAGTGTGCACAGGAATTACATTCCTCCTTCTCCTTTCCACCATCGGACAACCAGGCGGTCTGCGGGTCTTCATCACTTTGTTGTCGATATTCCACGCATTAGAACCAAACGGTTTGTTTCGTCTTTTGTAATGCGTACAGCAAAGGAGTGGAATATTAAATGAAACTAATTTTTACGGATTTTATCGCGTTTAATTAACTTTTTAATTCCAGACTTTACGGGTGCTTTACAGCACCCATGGTCACGGGGAGATTCGTAAAAATTAGTTTCATTTAATGTGTAGTCTTAGCGTAAATAATAAGCGTAAAAATAAGAAATCATTAGGAGTGGAATAATTTGCCAGAGTCTATCTTTCCGTCCGAATACAATCTGGGCGTCTTCAAGGCTTTTGTTACGCTAAAACAGTGTGATTTACCATCTAAGGCTGCATAACCACTTACCAGGTGGGATTTTGGCCAAGTACTGGCTACTAATAAGTAAAAAAAAAAAAATCATTGTTTACGTAATGACTGAATGAAAATAGGAATAATGTGCGATAAGGATATAGCATATAATTTTTACGCTACTCATCAATAGATCTCGCTTATATTTTAAGGAAAGAAACAGCGGCGTATATCCAAATTTTTTTTGTGTGCATGTTCATTTCTACAATTTTCATAGTCTTAGACTGGCGTAAGTATAAATAGCAGACATCGTGCACCCCGTAAGTCAGTTCCGATAACAAGAAGTAATTCAGGGATCGGCACATCCAGAGCAGAGTGATAATTAAGTGTGGTTCATCGAAACAGAATAATAGAGTAAATTGTTTAATTTTAAAAACTTTGTACAAGTGACTTCAATAATTGTTTTTATAGAATAAGGGTAACAAACGAGCACACAGTCCACCTGATGGTAAGTGGTTGCTGTGACCCATAGACATCTACATGTATCCTCAATAAAGAATCAAAATGCAGATGCGTCGTCACCCGTGAGGACTGAGATGGAATGCCTCTTTTCCAATAAAATGGATCTCCGGTTCTCTACCCTCACCATACGAAACACAGCAGTGTCAAGCTGCCATATTACGCTGGTATTCTGTGAGAGCGTGGTCCTTCCCCGGTCGAGCCGACCCATTCGTGCTACAGCTATACTATTAATATAGCTGCAGCATGGCTCTACCATGTAAATTACTAAGAATATAACTCAAAAACTGTTGGTCAGACCTTAATCAAATTTATATAGAACCACATGAAAAGCACCAGCTTTCAAATAAAAAAAGAATCATCGAAACCCAGGTTTACATATAAAAACATATATATAGTCGAATTGAGTACCTACTCCTTTTTGAAGTCGGTAGAAAATTATCCAGTAAGATTAGATTTTAGTATACTATAAATAAAGCACAAGACAAACATTATGATATTGTGCCTTATATTTAAATTAATGTAGCTTGGATCCAATGAATTTATTTGTCTACTCTCCAAATAATATGATGAACAAGTAGTAAAATTAAAATTTTTGTACAACCGACTTCAATATAAAATATTAAAGATAACTCAAAAACTACTGGTCAAACCGTGATCAATTATCTTGATTTATATCCGACCACATGAGAAGCACCAGCTTTCAAATAAAAAAAGAATCGTAGAAATCGGTGCGCCTAATAAAAAGTTCTGAGGTAACACAAATAAAAAAGCATACAGTTGAATTGAGTACCTCCTCCTTTTTGAAGTCGGTTAAAAATGAAGTGTAGTAGATAATAAATTAAATTATTTAAATATTAAAAATATATAAAAAGAAATTTTTTCATTGAATTAAATACATCTGTATTAAGAAAATTATCATTTAGTTTAGATCTATAACTTCTCTATTTAAAAGTCAGCTTTTTCAGTATACATTTCTGATAGGGATTTTATTTGCTTCATCCCATCACAGCATACCGATTTAGCTAGTAATGTCTAAAATAAGGTGTAGTAAATTCCAAATAATAATTGAAATAACTATGACTTATGTAAATTTTGTCAAAAACTTTTGCATGTGGTAGAGCCATACTACAGTTGTATTAGTAGTATAGTTGTAGCACTAATGGCTCAGCTCGACCGGGGAAGGACCACACTCTCACAGAATACCAGCGTAAAATAGCTTAACGCTGCTGTGTTTCATATGGTGAGTGTAGGGAACCGGAGACCCTTTTTACTGGAAAGCAGGCATTTCATCTTAGTCCTCACGGATGACAACGCATTTGCATTTTGATTCGTAATCGAGGACAGATGTAGATGTCTATGGGCCACAGCAACCACTTACCATCAGGTGGACTGTGTGCTCGTTTGTCACCCTATCCTATAAAAAGAAATGGGAAAGCAGCTATCAAATAATATGGACAGTAGGTTGCGATGTAGCTGGGCGAAGACGCTGACACATCATGCTATGACAGGGATGTTGACCTCCATGCCGTTTGCACAGAAGGATACTAAGAAGTACCAGTGTGTAATAAATAGAAATGTTTTATTTTCTTTTCTCTATAACAACAAGGTTCCACCGTAGGATGGATAGGATGGTCCACACCGTAGTATATTACACACTTCATTAAAAGACTGCATCTTGGAGGTAATAACGCCCTTACCCACTCCCACCCCACCCCTCAATGCCTCCTATTAAGGTGACTGTTTGAAGTTTAATTCTAAAAATGATTGATGAATGATTTTTAATAAGAAATTTTCAAGAATGCTAATAAAAGAAACTAAGTTATGGTGGGAGAAGTACAGAGGGGCGTCACTACTGCTGGATCCTAAAGTAATACTGTGCATTCTTTGCACCACCACTACAAAGCATGTACCTTTTGAATGTGAGTTGAGTTTATATACATTTGCCTGAGCCTCTTTGGTTAATAATATAGTGTAGGTATGCCAATGAAACAGAATTTATGGAAAATGGAAAACCTTGGTTATTTCGTAAAAAAAAGAAAGACTGAAATTAAAAATTTGAATGCATTTATTATAAATACTATGGTAAAATATAACAAATATTTTGCGAAGCTTTAAAAAATTAAAAATGTTTTGTAATACGGTTTATGTAAAAAACTTAACCTACTAAGACATTTCGATTCCCAAATTCTTGTCTATATTCAGTTGATAAAACTACCTAACAAATCTTTGTCGAAATTAATAATGAATTTATTTCAAAAATAAACACCATACGTCAATGGATGATCAAACAAAATTTTCTTGCAACACTTTAACTTGGTGTTTCTATAATATTGATAATTTGTTTATTCTAAATTGCAACAATCGTTTACTTACGTTTGATGGCAACAATTCACCTGATTCCAATATTACGGTAAAGAGGAATATCCCTCAAAAGGGAAATTTATTGATTTATTTAACAACAACGTAACAAAAAATAAGTATTTAAGATGTATAGCAATTTTAGCCCGGTAAGGGTATAATAATATGATCTGATGTTTTGTGGATTTTAAAAAGTACATATCACCTAGTCCTAGTATCACAGAATAATAATCACAGAATATATATAACCAGTGTGACCATCTTTAAAATACACACCCCGCCTTACTTTGGTTAAAAATCTGCCAAATACTGCCTAAATCTGTAGTGAAAAACAT